ATGATAAATACAAATCTTTTAATTTATTTTAAAAGTTAACTCAGTGTTCATGGGAAAACACAGAAAGGTTATTTTAATCAAAACAGTAATAGAAAAAAGAGCACTGGGAGCTTATTATAATACTTCCTCTCAGATTTCTAAATATTTTAATGCACTTACATTGTTTATGTACATATTCCCCATTATCAAAAGCCCTTTCAAATACACTATGAACATACTGAAAATTAAATAACAGCCCATGAAATTTTTGTTTTAAAAAAGTGTTAAAATAACAACCTTTCAGATAAAAGTTAACTGATCTCATGAACCAAATATTTAAGTATCAATTAAATGTAAGATTTTGTAGAAAGTACGCTAAGCAAAAAAAAAATCCAGATACAAAAACTACATATTGCATGATTCCATTTATATAAACTATGCAGGAAAAGTAAAATTGCAGAGCCTGAAAATAGCTGAGTGGTTTCCTGGAACTGAGAGTGGGTGCAGGAATAGACTGCAAATGGCCATGACAGAACTTTCTGAAGTGATATGTTTAAAAATTGAATTTTGATGACAGCTGCACAAATGCATAAATTTACTAAAAATCATCTAACCTGCAATAGATGGATTTTATTCTGTGCCTAAATAAAACAGAGAAGATTACATGGGTGAAAAACCATGGCATTGTGATTATTAGAGAAGCTGCACTTCCTCGAAATCTCGTGAATCAGTAGAGTAGATTAAACAAAATAATCTAACGACCATGAAAGAGCTTCCCAACAAGTGGTGGGATACTAGCGTTCTTCCAGTGGGTTTCAGGCTGACTAAACTTCAATTTCTTCAGCCATTGAAGTGATATGGTAGGACCTGGGATTTGTATTTCCCTCAGCAAAGAACCTTCTTCCATTGACTCTATTTAATACAGAAACAAAATATTTTACTGATCAAAGGCACCTTGATGAATGAACATGAAGAGAGATCATATCATTACTTATGAATTCAGCTAAAGCAGTGTTTAGAGGGAAAATTATAGCTGCAATTGCCTGTATTAAGAAAAAAGAAAGATCTCAAATCAAAAGCCTAACTTTTCACCTAACACACTGTAAAAATACAAGCAAACTAAACCTAAAAAGGGGAAGTAAATAATGCAGAATGAAAATTAATAAAATAGAGAATAGAAAAATGGAAGGGAGTCTAGGGAAACATCCTAGAAATGTCATTTAAAATAGTTTTTTAATGGACAAACTTTTAGTTAGATGGGCTAAGAAAAAAGAGAGGATATTCAAATTAGTAGAATCAGAAACGGAAGAGAGGACATTATTACTGACCTTATAGAAACTAAAAATAATTATTAAAACTATGATCAAATGAGTGAGAAAAATTAGATAATACAGATGAATTGAAAAATTAATGGCATTAACATTTAAAGGCAAAAACTGCAATTACTTTTGCATCAACCTAATAGATAAACACAAAATGGTGAAACTGACTCAAGAAGAAAGACAATGAATAAATTTATAACATGAGACCCAATTAGTAAACAGAGAATTACTCCCAAGGAAAAGCTTAGTCCCAGATGGCGCTACTGGTGAATTCTACCAAATGCTTTTAAAAATACAAATTCTTCATATCTTCCAAAAAAATTGAAGGGACCGAAACTCATTCTACAAGGCTACTATTACCCTGATAACAAAATCAGAGACATCACACAAAAAGTTACAAGGATAATATCTCTTATGAATATAGAGGTAAAAATCTTCAACAAAGCACTAGAAAACCAAATCCAGTAACAAATTCAAAAAATCCTGTATTATGAAGAAGTGGGAATTGTGCAAGGAATGCAAAGTTCATTTAATACCTGAAAATCAAATAACGTATTACATTATATCAACAGAATAAAAGACAAAATCCACATGATCAACTCAATAGATGCAGGAAAAGCATTTGACAAAACCAAACACTCTTTCATTATAAAAACAGTCATAAAACTAGGAATAGAAAGGAACTTCCTTAAACTGCTAAGTGTTTCTATGAAAAATCCAGAGTTAAAATCGCATGTAATTATAAAGGATTATATGCTTTCCCCCTATGATCAGGAACAACACCAACATGCCTTTTCTTACCCCTTCTATTCAACATTGAACTGGAGACAATTGGTCAAACAAATCAAATAATGTAAATCTAAATTAGACAGGAAGAATTTAAACTATGAGTATTTGCAGATGACATGGTCTTATTCATAGGAAAGTCTACATAATCCATTAAAAATTTTAGAGTTAATAAGCAAGCTCAGTAAGGTTGATTGATGCATATAAAATCTATATACAAAAATAACATTTCTAATAACTTCTAATGAATGATTTAAAAATAAAGAAACTTCCACTCACAATAGCATAAAAAAGAATAAAACAATAAAAATAGCTGTAACCAAAAAATAAAACTTTTACTTTGAAAACTACAAGACATTGTTGAAAGGGATATTGAATGTCTATATATATAGAAAGACATCCCATGTCTGCAGATCAGAAGACTTAATCTTGTTAAGATGTGAGTATGCTCCAAACTGACCAACAGTTACAACATAATCCCTACTGGAATCTCAGCTGGTGATCTCTGCAGAATCTCTATGGAAGTTGATAAACTGTTCTGAAAATTCACATCAAAATTCAGAATGGCCAAAACAATCTTGAAAAATAACAGAGGTGAAGGCTCTGCACCCCTGTTTTCAAAACTTACTGTAAAGCAATGGTAATCAAGACAGTGTGGTGCTGGCATAAGAACTGATATATAGATTGGTAAAACATAACTGAGAGTCCAGAAACAAATTCATGTATCTATGATCAACTGATTTTCAAAAAGGAGGAAACTAGACTCTTACATCATATAAAAAAATCAACTTAAAATGGATCAGTGACCTGAATATAAGGATTAAAACCATGAAAGTCTTAGGAGAAAACATAGAGCTAAATCTTAGTGACCTTAGTTTTGGCAATGAATTCTTAGCAGTGAAAACAAAAGCACAAACAACAAAGAAAAAATAAATTGGACTTCATCAAAACGTGTTTCAAAATACAAATCAGGAAAGTGAAAAAATTCACAGAGGAAAAAGATTTGCACATCAAATATATGATAAGGGCCTAGTATTCAAAACAGAGGAACTCTTAAAATTTGACAAACAGCTCAATTTAAAAAATGGGCAAAGGACTTGAATAAACTTGATATATGGCACTTGATACTGGCATTGTACATCAGGCCGGGAAAATGTTAATGGAGATGGGACATTTAGCTTTCGATATATAAAAATATATATAAGGAAAAATATTTATACTGTATCAATTTATGTAAGTATACTCTATGATGTTCAACAAAATCACCTAATGACATGTTTCTCATAATGCATCCCTGATGTTAACTAACGCATGACTGTATATAATTCTATTTATATTAAATGTCCAGAATAGATAAATCTATAAGAGACAGACAGTAAATTAGTGGTTGCTTAAGGCTAGAGTGGTTATGGGGTTGATAGCTAAAGGGTACAGTTTCTTTTTGAGATGATGAGTATATTCTAAAATGGGTGGTGGTGATGATTACACAATTCTGTGAATATACTTATATATTACCCCCCAAATATGTACTGTGAGTAGTTCACAAAAGTAAGTGTGTCGATCGGATTAATAAATTCCACATGAGTGCCTACTAAGTACTCAGATATAAGACTAAATAGGATGTTTTGTCATTTTCTCAGGAGCAAACACACTGCAAAATAAATAGATAAAAACACAGTCCGAAAGTTAAAAAGTGGTGAGCCAGAAACCTTCCACTGGGTTAAAGGGAAGGACTATTCTCAGTGATGGTTAAATTGGCATTCTCAATGCCAACAAAACAGCTATATAAAGATAAGAGGGAAGATGATTACAAGCAGAGGGGAAAGCAAGTGTGACATGGAGAATAGGTGGGTAAGTGTTTAGGGACTGCATGAAGTCCAGGGTGGATGAATAGCAAAAGATTGGGGGAACAAAGGGAGAAAGCAAGGTCCCAGAGGTCATGAGAGATTGGTCAAAGGCAGGTCTGCAGGGCTTTTAGGTCAGGGTGAGAAGCTTCGATTTGCTTCTTTTCAACCCCCTATTACTCTGTGCACCTCTCTGCTGTTACACATAACCCTCTGCATCTCCCTATCCTGCCTGCTCTAAGGAAAATGAAAATTTCTCATTCATCTTCAGTGCGTAACTGGGATCTCAGCAGAGGTTTCCTGAATGAGCAGGTCACATATTGGTGTTAATAATAAGGCAAAATTCTAAATCTTAAAGGACGTTTAGAATAAAGATTAAATAGAAGAAAAAGAAATGTTTTCTAAAGGTAATGTAAAAATGAAGGTCCAGCAAATTGCATCTGAATTCCTCCCAGCCTGGTTATTTCTACTAGAGACCATGATGCTTCCCCAAGTTTGAATGAGTTAAAGAGAACATCTTACTAATTTAATTAACTCATTGCCAGAGTCTGAAACATCAAACTGCCAGCAAAAAGCAGCTTTATACTCTAATTATTGTGCGGTAGTCATTAACTGTTTCTCTAGCTTGCTCACTAAGTATTCCAAGTCATTGTGTAGAATCATGGTATCTACTGTTACATCACCAAGAGCTACAACAAACAAAAATGGAAAGGGTATTAGAATACCATTCGTGCAACTGAAATACAATTATGTATTACCTTTCAAATAACACGATGATAAAATATGCTTTACTTAGAAATGACTTATAAACGTTTTATTGTCTAATGATTAGCTTTGGGTTTGCATGTTGGATTTTCTGTTTGCACTACACCGGGATTCTGCCAAGATTCTAATTGTAACATCATTATCCAGAAAGGCACACACCAGTTCTAACACAGTTGAGACAAAGCTAGCCAAATAGCAGTTTCAGAGTGTAATACCACACATTTATGCACATAAATAGAGCATGTTTCTTGGGGAGGATTAAGCAAACAAACAAACAACAATACATTTTTTTCAACTGGCTTACTGTGGCCTTGAGGCTTCGGCCTGGTCTGTCTGCAGTTTTTCTCCTTCCACTTCCATTGTACAGTAAACAATTCGATTGGGAGCAACTGACCTCAAGCCTTCCACTTCCATTATGACAATCTAAAGACAAAATGATTTTAAAATAATGCATCAAGCTGGTAACATTTAGCAATATACAAAATTAGCAGCATGAACTGTAATAAGGAAGACTGACAAAACTGAAAAAAAAGTTATTTGTTAACATCACTGGTATTTTATCTTCTTTATAATCCACCTCTATTCATAGAAGGTATAGTAAATAACATTCTGAGGAAGTCTAGTACCTGAAAATATATCTTCTGCCACCTATAAACAAAGTAAGTCAAATGTCACAAATATACGCCCTAGTGAATCAAATAAAATTTAAACTCAGATCCTTAATGAGTAAAGGCAAGTCTGCATGAAATTAAGCAGAATCACAAATGAAAATTCAGTGCAGATGATATCAGCAGTACATGGTAAGTTCCATATAAGGTAATATAGTACATATTACTGGTAGACATTATTGCCATCATACCAACTCATTGATATCAATATGTGATATCAGAAATTTTCTATATTCACTTATTTGAGATGACTATTGCTACATGTAAAAAGAGTTTTATTTGTGGTCTGTGTCTTATTAAATGGAAATTATAACTTGTCACTGAACATCTTAACACTAACTTCATAAGAAAAAAATGATTTTTCTGTTCATTAAAGCTATGTACTAATTTAATTCGGTATATTGGAAAAGGGTGGAAAAACTGATATTGCTTTATGTATTTGTAACTCCTAGGAGAAAGGACAATGTATATTTTTTAAGTGTGCTTTTTAATGTTTATTGAAAAGGCTGCCAATCTTAAAATACTGTAACCTAACATTCTCATTGAATGTATACATCAAATATAAATATTATTTACCATATATTTTTCAATCAAAAGTTATATCATGAACTCTTCTAAATTCTCAAAATTTAATTTATAACATAGATTGCATTTATTGATGAATGCATTTATTGATAAATGCATTTATTCATAATAATTTATAAAATAGAAATGCATTTTTAAATATACACATTGTTTTCTTTATTGATCTCATGTTGTATTTGCACAAACAATAAAATTCATGCTAGGTAGCTACCAAAATATCTACCATAAACATAATCTGTATCAATTACTGATCATGCAATATTTTATAACCGTCATTATACTTTTTACAGAGTCATGAAAAGAATTTTGATCCAAAAGGGCTCAAAAAACAAACCATCTTAAAACCGCTCTTCCTTTCAGCTCTGTTACAAGAGAAGGACTATGTTTGTAAATATGAGTGTATATTTGGTTTTTGTTAAATTTTGTTTTCATACAATACATAGGAAAGTGACCACTCAGTTATTTATCAATAAGAAAAAAGGTCAAACTCAGAACTAAGTTTTCTTCCTCAACTAGAGATCTGTCATTTTCTCACATTAAAATGCATATCAGCATATAAATAAAAATAAGGACTTACCTGAAAACAGACTAAGAAAATTAATGGAGAACTGATAGAGAAAAGAAATATTTTTCACAGCTGTTCTAATACTGCTTAGGGAAACTGGGATGAAATACTGAATCTTTTTTCTTTTCTTTTTCTCTTTTTTTTTTTTTTTTTTTTGAGATGGAGTCTCATTCTGTCACCAGGTTGGCAACCTCCTGTCACCAGGTAGGCCCAAGCAATTCTCCTGCCTCAGCCTCCCATGTAGCTCGGATTACAGGCTCGTGCCACCATGTCCAGCTAATTTTTGTATTTTTAGTAGAAATGGGGTTTCATAACGTTGGCCAGGATGGTCTCTATTGCCCTACCTCATGATCTGCCCTCCTCAGCCTCCCAAAGTGCTGGGATTATAGGGATGAGCCACTAAGCCTGGCTGAAATACTAAATCTTGATTAAGGAAAATAAGCAAACCAAGTTATGCATTTTTTATGACTCAAGTTTTTTTTGTTAGTAATATTAAAAATAGTTAGACTACTATACAAATAAAACCAGAAACTGAGATAAATCAAATATATAACCATATTAATTAAAAGTCAACCTCATTTGAACTTACCACCATTACTCTAATAATTT